TCTATTGTGAAAGGAATACATGTGTTTTAACATGACCATTTCACACTTTTTAGATCTAGTCTCTCTTGGAAGCATCACATTGATGTTGGGGCAGGTGTTGTTGACCGGGATTACCGTGGAAATGTTGGCGTGGTCCTTTTCAACTTGTCAAAAACTGATTATGAAGTCCTTCAAGGAGATCGCATTGCTCAACTTATAGTTGAGAGAATAAGCACACCACCTCTTGTTGAGGTTGAGGTGAGAAATTCTGTCACTGTTTGGTTTCATACCACATTTTAACATTTTCACAGCAAAGATATTAGTTTGGTTATCAATAGAAAATGTTGACACATATTTTGGAAAGAACTCATCTTCCAGGGGAGTAAAACAAAAATGTTAAATGAAGAAATGAAAATATTCAGGGCTTCATTGGGAGGTAGACTCCTAACTTCCACCAACTAAGCTACACATTAGAAACAGGCGGTAGATGTATTGACCGAATGGTTAGTGCGCTGCTATCCCAGATGGCGCATCGCAGGTTGAGCCCTGGCCCAGGTAAGGAAGAAAGTTCACAGTACCTCTCTCAAACCAGATGTATCAATGGGGACTAGTGAATTTAATGTTAGGGGAGTAACCCTGTGATGGACTAGTATCCCATGGCCCACGGGGGAGTAGAAATACATTCTCCCATGGAAATCTAAAGAAATTTGAATTTCTTTCACAAAAAGTACATTGATTTTAGTTTATTTAACTTAATATGTTAAAAACACTTTTTCTTAATCAGGAACTAGATGATACAGCACGTGGAACAGCAGGCTATGGATCTACTGGAAAATAGGCAGTTATTAGTTAAATAGTTATTTAGACTTATTGCTACAGAGGAGGGAAGAAGACACCCATGCGGAAAGGTTGGCGATCTTACTTGGAAATTTTGAATTAAACCCCTAAAGGAGACCAATCTGGGTGTTTTGGCTAGAACCTTACTTGACCCCTTAAAGATATCACTGAAAACAGAAATGACAGCCTTTTTTATTATTTCTTCAAGTGTACCCTAAAAGATACCTTGATGGCTAAAAAGAAAGGAGTTTCATCTTGAACACCCTACGTGAGACAGAAACTCGCAATTTACAACCCTAAGCAAGACAATGAGCATCCCCAACCTTTTCATATGGGAATCCATCTCCCCCCTCTCCCCACCCCCAGGCATTGCTTGGACCAAGATTTTCTGACCAACATTTCTACATTCCTCAAAAGTTATGTTCGTTCCAAAACAGCAATCTTTATCAAAAAGATTGCTTGAAGAAACTTCGCTGATAAAGAAAGCCCTCAGACTACATGTACTTCATTTATGTGTGTGAGAATTGCTGAATTTATCAGTAAGGCAAACAGTTTGGGAAGAAAGTTAGCTGCCGTCTGGGTGACTTCCTCATTAACCACTTTTGCTTGTGAATTGTGACATAGATGTACAACAGTTCAATATTTGTCTGGCTTTTGTGTCTATAAGAAAAACAATTCTGTTTCTTTCCTTCCAGCCAATAAAGTTACATTAGACAATTTCACTGACATGAAATTTCATTTGTTATCAGTTATTCCATTGAGATTATAAAGAAAGACTACTCCATTTGTTGGTATGAGAACTGTTGAATTTATCAATAAGGCGAACAGGTTGGGAGGAAAGTTAGTTGCAGTCGGGGTGACTTCCTCATGAACCATTTTTTCCAGTGAATTGTATAGTTCAATATTTACCTGGCTTTTTGTATATAAGACAAAAAAATGTGTTTCGTTCCTTCCCATTGTTAAAGTTGCATTAGGATTATGTTGTGATGAAATAGCATCTGTTATCAGTGGTGCCATTCAGATTAAACCATGTTTGAGAGTTTGTTATTCATTGGTCTGTTTACTATGGATTAATATTACAGTGTGAAAATGAGGAGTTTAGTGACCTTTTTTTTTGTGTTCTTTGCGATTCATATGAAGAGGGACTCCAGAAACAAAACTGGACTCATATGAAACAGGAAAAAGACAACTTGGAAATGGCCTGTGATTGAAATGCAAAATTCCTTCCAGTAATAATATCATCCGCAAATGAGCTCACCGATAAAAGGTCTGTAACAAATAAAAGCCAAAGGCTCGCTCAGCGTTTTCTAAGGGATTGTTGCTGTGTGTGATAATGGCAGCAGACGTGAGCAGACATCCTATGCTTTACTTGCAATGTTACTAAGACCAGGAACCAGGTATGGGAGTCTGGAGACGAGTTGTCGATGGCCAACCTCTTTCCCAGGGTCTCATCTTACTGGGAACGAGGTTGGCCGATGGCACTACCGGGATAATGTCAGCCAATAAGTCTGAGCTCGTCCTTTCAAACTGCTAGGTCAGTTTAGCTGATTGTAAGACCCTGACAGACCCGTGAATATAACTGCTCAGTTTGTGGGAGTAGTTGTAATAACGAAGTCCAATCCTTGAAGGTTCTTGACCTCTCCTTTCCTCCGGATGGGAGGAGCGGTGGTTAATCCCTTAATGGCCTATGCAGGGAGGCTCTGCCTGAAAGGGATACCTTTTTCAGGTTTCAGGTACATAAAAGGGCAGAGATTTCATAAGTTGAGGTATATATGAGGGGTAGGGATATCTGTCATTTTGCTATTTAAAGGGGACTTTCATTAAAACATTTCGAACAGATGCACTGTATAGCTGGATCATTTGATTTATTAAGGAATACATGAAAATGACAAGAAGATTTCTTTTTTTTGGTGATTTTATTCATAATACAGACCGGTTATGAAAGCATGTCAAAGGGATACCATTTTTCAATTAAAGGTATACGAAAGAGGTACCTTTTCTGTCGGAATGGTATACAAAGGGGTAAGGGGTTGGACTTCGGGGCGGAGCCTCCCCGTATAAAACTTTGTAGAGTACTCCCCCCGACATATATAGGGGATAGTATTGCGTTCAGGTGGGAGAATAGAGAGTCCTGGAGGACAACTAGCACTTGGCACACGCTCATAACGCTGTCATTTTCGCCGCAAACGAGGAAAACCACATGTGGCAGCTGTTTAAGGCCCTGTCTGCACTACGCCGAAGGAATTTGAAAACGGAGCTTTATTTCTCCGGTTAGGCCTTTCGTCCAGACTAATCCGTCACGAAAACGGAGCTTCTCACGAGCACTCTTCGCACCGAAAGAATTTGAAAACGACGGCTTTGCGTTACAGTGTAGACGGAAAATATTTTAAAAACGGAGCT